CTTCCATTTCAGGTGCCGTGGGTTTAAGTCCTCAAGCAGGATGATGATCGGGGCTGGATTTGTGAGGTCTTCCAAGCAGTGTTCTATTTTCATTAGTTTAGTCTTTTAACTGCCGAGGATTTGCCTCCGGTGACTTACATGCAAGGACAATAACTTTTAGGATCTCTGCTTTGATTATCAACACTTCCACCATATTCCATCTCCCCCCTCCCCCCCACGCTTCCCCCTTCCCCCCCCTTTCCCCTCCTTCCCCCCCCTCCCTTCCCTAGCTACCCCCCTCCCCCAAACCAAATGCAACCCCTTTCCTCCTCCCCCCTCCCCACGCAACCCTTTTCCCACGCTCTCCACCCAACTGGAGTGCAGAGCCCCTCCTCCCCCCCCCAAATCCCAGCATACCTTTCTCCCACATACCACCTGTCTCTTTTCTGCCTATTGTTGGTTACTGGGATCAACGCTCCCACGACCCGGTCTCTGATCAGACCTCCTGGTTGGTGGCGGTCTGGTCAATCAGACTGCTGAACGCAACTGCTCACAGCCTTATGTATGAATAAATAATTAGCAAGTATAATATATATATATATATATATATATATATATATATATATATATATATATATATATATATATATATATATATATATATATATACCATAAGGTCCATATTGTACATTAGTTAATGAGTGCTTAAAAGTTGTGGATCTTTTGGAGTTCTTCTGTGGACAGTTCAAGTAAGTTTATTGAGAACAGGAAGTACATCTGAAAAGGAGAAGCTAAGGCTATTTCTACCCTCGTCTATACCATAAGGTCCCTCAAGGGGCTCACAAACCCTTACAATACACACTTGTTAATCATATTTTTACACTTCACATTTCAATGATAATCACATGTCATACTGTGAGATCTCTTATTGATTATGCTGCCCCGGTCATGTCTTGTGTTGGTAATGGAAGACTAAACAAGTTTGAGAGGGTACAAAAAGAAGTCACGAGAATCATCTCAAGATTATTTTCATGCCCCCCCCCCCCCCGAAAAAAAAGACTTGCCGAGATAATGATTGACCTTACAAAGTATTGAGGATAGAATTTCAGAGATAAATAATGCTTCGACGATTAGATTAATGAGAGGCGAGGGAGCTAATAAATTAATCCTCTCACTTCAAAAGGTGGAAAGAATTGAATAATGTATGTGAAAGCATAATAAGATCCTAATGTTCTAATTTTACAAAGCATGATGTTCTACAAGAATGTATTTCTTTGCCAAAGAAACAGTTAACGCCAACATGGAAGAAATACACCGTAGATGCAGTAATTTTTCCCTCTATGTTCTCAGACTCTTTTTAACTTTGCTGCGTTCTATTTCACGGATAAACGACCTCGCCCTGTCCATAGCCTCTTTAAATTCTATTTTTGTATACCATTTTTCCTGAATCTCTGCGTCAAAATTTTCCACCACACGGGGATGAAAACTGCCATCATTAGTGGATAGTTCATTTTCCTGAGACTCGTCCATCTGTGATAGTCCATCCTCTTCCTTACTTTCTTCCCCCTCCGTTTCATTCCCCACTTCACTCTCCACTACCCATCTATTTGCCATAGGTAAATTTGTCTAGAGCTTCAATCCTCTTGTCCAACTTTTTTAGGTATTCCAAGATCTGTGTACCGACCGCAGAATCCACAACGCTGCCCTGCTTGATACCTGCTTGATGGGGTTCTGGGAGTTCGTCTACTCCCCAAGCCCGGCCCGAGGCCAGGTTTAACTCCCTGAATTTGCTGTTCCCCCTGTGATTGCCTGTGGACCATGTTGGGGACGTTTCCAACATGGTCGAGTTGGGGGGTTTCAAAAGAGTTCCATTTGACACGGTGCCAATTGGAACCCCTCGACATTTTTTTTTGGAATATCATAAGTGGACTTGGTATTATACTTTTTGTATAATGCATTATGTACTCATCTCTGCAAATTTAAACAAAAAATTATCATACATTGCCTGTAATTAGTTAAAATATGCAAATGGTCATGATGGCTGGTGGTTGGCTGGGGAATAGCCGGTACGTAGGTCATCCATACCAGGGGGGGGGGAAGTGAGAGGAGGGAGGAGAAGGAAGGAAGGAAGAGAGGGAGAGAGAGAGGAAGAGGGGAGAGAGAGAGAGAGAGAGGAGAGAGAGGGAGAGAGAGAGAGAGAGAGAGAGAGAGAGAGAGAGAGAGAGAGAGGAGAGAGAGAGAGAGAGAGAGAGAGAGAGAGAGAGAGAGAGAGAGAGAGAGAGAGAGAGAGAGAGAGAGAGAGAGAGAGAGAGAGAGAGAGAGAGAGAGAGAGAGAGAGAGAGAGAGAGAGAGAGAGAGAGAGAGAGAGAGAGAGAGAGAGAGAGAGAGAGAGAGAGAGAGAGAGAGAGAGAGAGAGAGGGGGGGGGGGGAGGGGAGAGAGAGAGAGAGGGGAGAGGGAGAGGGAGAGGAGAGGGGGAGAGGGGGAGAGGGAGAGGGAGAGGGGGAGGGGGAGAGGGGGAGAGGGAGAGGGGGAGAGGGGAGAGGGAGAGGGGGAGGGAGGGGGAGAGGGAGAGGGGGAGAGAGGGGAGAGGGGAGAGGGGGAGAGGGAGAGAGGGAGGGAGAGGGGGAGAGGGGAGAGGGAGAGGGAGAGGGAGAGGGAGAGGGAGAGAGGAGAGGAGAGGGGGGGAGAGGGAGGGGAGGGAGGGAGGGAGGGAGGGAGGGAGGGAGGGAGGGGAGGGAGGGGGGGAGGGGAGAGGGGGAGAGAGGAGGAGGGAGGGAGGGAGGGAGGGGGGGGGGGGGGAGTGAGTTATATGTAGAATTGGGAGTGGGTATTTTGTTTTAATAAAGGTTTGTGAAGTTCTTATCAAATTGACAACCTGGGTAGCTACAATATAAATGGGAAGCGTTTAGAGAGTGCACATTTAAGTGGTAATTAAAGGAGGCCTTTCCCCTCGTGTCCAGGGGAAAGTTGTGGCCCACATCCTGCGGCCCTCGCCACCCTGGCCACTCCCCCCTTGTGTCAGGCTCCAGCTACACCCCAGGCACTCCACCTCCACACCAGGCACTCCACCTCCACACCCAGGCACTCCACCTCCACACCCAGGCACTCCACCTCCACACCAGGCACTCCACCTCCACACCCAGGCACTCCACCTCCACACCAGGCACTCCACCTCCACACCCAGGCACTCCACCTCCACACCTCCACAGAGAGAATGTATGGTATTGGAATTGGCTTAAAGAACAACTTACATAGCAGAGTCACAAGGGAGGGAGCAAAGCATTGGCAAAGAATTATAGACCAGTTGCACTAACGTCGCACATAATAAAATTATTTGAGAGAGTGATTAGGAGTCAGGTCACCAATTTCATGTAGATCAATGACCTTCACAACCCAGGCCAACATGGATTTCGAGCGGGAAGATCGTGCCTCTCACAGCTACTTGATCACTACGATAAAGTCACTGAGGCATTAGAAGAAAAACAGAATGCTGATGTGGTATAAACGGACTTCGCAAAGGCTTTCGATAAATGTGACCATGGCGTGATAGCACACAAAATCAGGCCAGTGGGAATAACCGGTAAAGTAGGACGCTGGATACTCAGTTTTCTGTCAAACAGGACACAACGAGTAACAGTCAATCATATAAAATCGAGTCAATGCGCAGTTAAAAGCTCTGTACCTAAGGGTACAGTCCTTGCACCGCTGATTTTCCTTATTCTCATTTCAGATATAGACAAAAATACAAGTCACAGCTTCGTATCATCCTTTGCAGATGACACAAATCAGCATGAAAATTACCTCGATTGAAGACATTGAAAAACTTCAAGCTGACATTAATAGAGTTTTCGACTGGGCAACAGAAAATAACATGATGTTTAACAGTGATAAATTCCAGGTACTCAAGTACGGTAAAAATAAGGACCTTAAATAAAATACAGGGGTGCAAAACACAATCAAATTTGCCCATAGTAGGAAAACAGCATGTAAAGAATTTGGGAATAATGATGTGTGACGACCTAACGTTTAGGGAGCATAACCAAGCAAATATTGTGTCGGCCAGAAAAATGATTGGATGGATTATGAGAACTTTCAAATCCAGGGATCCCATCACAATGGCTGTACTCTTCAAGTCACTTGTGTTGTCCCGTGTTGAGTACTGCTCAGTACTCACTTTCCCCTTCAGTGCAGGAGAGATTGCTGAAATAAGAGGGAATACAGAGAACATATATGGCACGCATAGACACATAAAGCACCTAAATTATTGGGATCGTCTCAAAGCCCTCCAAATATTCTCACTAGAAAGAAGACGAGAGAGATATCAAATAATATACACGTGGAAGATACTGGAGGGCCAGGTCCCAAATCTGCACGGTAAAATAACAACATACTGGAGTTAACGATATGAAGAAAATGCAGAATAGAACCAGTGAAGAGCAGCAGGGGTGCCATAGGCACAATCAGAGAACACTGTATAAACATCAGAGGTTCACGGTTGTTCAACACCCTCCCAGCGATTATAAGAAATATTGCCGGAACAACTGTGGACATCTTCAAGAGGAAACTAGATTGTTTCCTCCAAGGAGTGCCGGATCAGCCATGCTGTGGTGGGTATGTGGGCCTGCGGGCCGCTCCAAGCAACAGCCTGGTGGACCAGACTCTCACAAGTCGAGCCTGGCCTGGGCCGGGCTTGGGGAGTAGAAGAACTCCCAGAACCCCATCAACCAGGTATCAACCAGGTGGGTGGCACTGGTGTAGTAGAGGGTACTGGTGGGTGGCACTGGTGTAGAGGGTACTGGTGAGTGGCACTGGTATTGTAGAGGGTACTGGTGGGTGGGACTGGTGTAGAGGGTACTGGTGGGTGGCACTGGTGTAGTAGAGGGTACTGGTGGGTGGCACAGGTGTAGTAGAGGGTAGTGGTGGGTGGCACTAGTGTAGAGGCTACTGGTGGGTGGCACTGGTGTTAGAACACATTGGAATGTATTTGAAATTAGTAGTACAGTATTTATTTCCTTTACAGGAAATCGAGATCCCTGGGCGCAACAATGGAGGATCCAAGTTCGCCTTCTCTCTGCAGAGCGTCCAAGATCCCGATGGGCCACAGGGCAGCTTCGAGTTCATCAAGCAGTTTGGCACCAGGTAGTACTGATATGAGTGTCTTGTGTTACTTACTCTCTGGGGGGCAGAGTTCACTAAGTATGCTGCTGCTGCTGCAATCCCAGATGTATTTTGGTTGAAAGTTTAACTTGGTCGAACTCTGCCTTAACTGCAAAACTTGGAGCTTAGTTTCCTTTTTTAAGGTGAAGAAAGCCATTGATGTTAGGTTGAAATTGGTCAAAGACATGATTTAGCTGCTATAGTATTATTTCTCCTTCTGTTGTCAAGCAATCATTATAATTGTTTAGGTTGTTTTGGAAAATTTCTCTCGGACTGATTCATGTAGTTTCTCCATAAACTTCCCAAATTTGGTAATGGATTTCTTATTCTATTAATAATTTTTTGTTACAAATGCTTTCCCTGATAAACTGGTCTTTTTTCCACCTGGAGGGTCTACTCTGGCAAGCTGTGTGTGGACAGCAATAGCATATCAACGGTCTTATGGCAATTTTATCATATTTTTAGTCAATAATTAAATCATTTCCAAGCTTCCATGAGGCTATTGGCATTATTCTACTCTGCCATCACTCTTTACTGTATCACTATATCTGTGTCAGTCTATGGTATGGATATGGATTTGAATATCTCACTATATCCAAATCTATTACTGGACCAAAGTCCAGATATAACAAATATATATTATTTAATAATAATTATGACGTATAAAATTATATAGAAAATCGGTTTTATTGAGGGAAAACCATAAATATTATTAATATACTGTACTTGCATAGCCTTGTGCTTGCCTGGGTTCTGAGTAATTTCATACATCATGATACTATCTTTAATACAGTACTGTATTACAGTACTTCTGAAATAGCTATACTAGTAGTTCTTCGCACTAATTACTATGTCATTAATATTATAAATTAATTTTATTGTTTCCAAAACATATTGCAAATTGCTACCTGCAATTACTTTGGTACAACTTTCCCCAAACAAAATTTGCTTTATTCCCACATATTGTAACACATACAATTTGTTCTTCACAAATGTACCATTTACAGTACAGTATTTGTAATGCTTATTTTGCAAAGTTTACTAATAGCATTTTTGGTTGAGACAAATTATTTTACAATTCAATTTTGTCCACAGAGAATTGGAGTCTCTTGGACCCATGGTAGGCAAAGTTATGGTCCAAGCCAAGGATGATTCATACGAAAAGACTCGACTGAGCATGGAGAATGCTAAGATTAAGAATCAAATGAACTGGTAAGTTGTGTATTGAACATTCAGCAGTATACAGTACCAATTAAATCATTTATGTAGAAGATTTTGGTAGTTGGCAGTGTATTGTGTACACATTCTGGTGGCATTCTAGCAGACTCTTCATGTCAAAGGAATGATTAAAAGAAATAAAACAAGATAATAATATGATTGAGTATTAATAATGAGTGAGTGAGTCCAATGTGCCAGTGTTTAATTTTTTCTGAAGCACTGTATATAAAAACCTATTTAAATATTTTGCATGAAAAATGTGAATGTTTAAAGATTCATTAATGAGGAGTTGGCAAAAATGTTTTGGATTGTTTTGTTCACAAATTTTCATTCTGTACAGTACTAAGTGATAGGAATTGGCTTGCCATTAATGCAAATATAAATTTTTAGTCATACAAGACTTTTCCCATAATTTTCAGTTCTCATTTGATTGTACTGTACTGTACTGTACTGTACTGTATATTTAAATGAAAGGAATGATAGAATATGAAACTACAGTAATACAAAAAAATTAAGTACCTGTACATAAAACAAATCAAACCATAAGTGGTACCAATATTCTGTACAATTTGTTTTTTGTAATTACCTAAGTGTAGTTATAGGATGAGAGCTATGCGCGTCGTGTCCAGTTTTTGCAATACTCTTCATCATATGACAAATTTAAACTGCTGATAGTTTTGACATCCAACTCCCTCTCACTTAAATTATTATATCTGTACACAACTGTTGCGAAAGAGAATGTTTGGACACTTTCGGCACCTTTTGTTTATTAGCTTGAATCTATGGTCTCTTATTCTTGAAGTTGCAGATTTTTTTCATTTTTTCCATGTCTATTTTGTCTACTACAGTCACGATTTTGCACAATACTTATGTGGTGATTATATTTACTAGGAATGGTACAGCTTTGTTTTACACAATACTTATGTGGTGATTATATTTACTAGGAATGTTACAGCTTTGTTTTACACAATACTTATGTGGTGATTATATTTACTAGGAATGACAAGTTTAATGTCTCAAGTCTCTCCTCATAGCTCTTGTTTTTTAGTTGTGGAAGCCTTGTAGTAGTACAGTATACTGTATCTTTCATCTTTTCTGTTTTGTTTTGTTCTCATTTTAGATATGGACACCATATAATGGCTGCTTACTCCATTTTCAGTCTGACAAATGTCATGAATAATGTCTTTAGTATTTCCTCATCCATGTACAGTATTTAAAAGCACTTTTATAATTCAAAAGTGTGGTGTAGCTCCTCTCACAGTGCAATTAATGGAAAGTCCTCTGGTGACAGTTTACTGTCCAGAACCTGCCCAGAGTTGTTGGACTTTGAACTCCATATAGTTTCATTAAATGAAATTTATTTTATTTCAGTGTTAAGGAAGTAAAGGCAAATGCCAGCAACCCCTTTGTTCGAACGCGATCATTTCCGGCTAAGAAGTCATCAACTTTGGTAGTTCCACCACCAAAGAAAGAAGTCGTAGCTGAATTGCCCTCTAACAACAGATACACTCAGAACACATCTAGTTCACCACACAGAACGCATTCTGGTGGAACAGCAGGGAACAACCCACCTGCTGGTAAACCACCACCACCACCTCCACCCAGTAATGTTACTGCCAAGAAGAATAACCCTGAGCTATTTAGAAGACCTCTTAGGTGAGTCTATTGAGTCTGTAAAATATTTACATTACATTGCACAAAATATACTTGCTAATGTGAATGCAGTGTGTGTGTGTTGGTAAAATCAATGATAATATGATAATATATATCTATGTTAACTGTAGGAAGTTAGAAAGAATGTACAGTAGTGGTTTACAAACATGAATGTGTATGTACTAATACAGAAGCGGTGTATGTTGTGTATTAGCTTAGAAATGGCATGCAGTAGTACAGTATAATGTCATAGTTAATCGAGGAGTATTCTTAAGAATTCAGGTGCTGTATTAGTGTATTGATACAGTATTAGGATTGTTCCTGTTTTACAAGAATATGCAATGTGGTATGTATTTTATTGGCATTGAGGTGGTGATTGCATGTTGTGCAGGCATAGAGACGGTCTTTGTATGTTTGTGTACATTTACTGGTGTAGAGACAGTGTTTGCATGTGTGTTTATGTATAGTATTTACTGGGGTAGAGGTAGTGTGTGTGTGCATTTAGTGATGTGTTAACTTTACATGAACTGGAATCTAATTGTATTTGCACATGGATTATGCACATGGGGACTTCTATAAACATTTAAATGCGCAAGACTTGTCAATGCCCTCCTTTTGTGTGAATAATAAGGGTCATAGCTAGCCAACATCATGGGCTGTTCAAGAGGGAATTTGATAAACAGGGCGGTCATAAGCTATAAGTGAGTGCCCTGAGCTGAAGGGGGGTTGCATGGGGCTCTGAAAATCCACGAGAACTTGATCTTTTATTCGTGGACATATATCCTACACGCAAATATCTTATATAGTGACGATTGATTGATAAATATTAAGCCACCCAAAAGGTGACACGGGCATGAATAGCCCGTAATATATAGTGATGGTTATGTAAAAAAATCATGTAATTAGCTAATTGAAGATATAAAATGTGTCACCTTTTCTCTAATCTTCTCTTATGACATTTTGAAACTCATGTTGAGTCATGGCCATGTTGGGTCATGGCCATGTTTAATTGACAGTAAAATGAGGTTCATGCTGTAAAAAACCCATTCTTGGCCAAAACATTTGTATCATGTTGGCTCAGGCATTTATTTTCATGCTGATGTTACATAGAATGTTACAAGGAAATGTTTTACATTGATGGAATTATTGATGCTTATTTCTTCCTCTCCAGAGAGAGAATCATACAACTTCTGGCTGTGAAGAATTACAGGAAGCCTGAGATATTAAATAGATTATATAATGGTAAGTAAAGTTATATATGTTTTTATATGGTTACATATTTGTAGTTGTTTATGATGTTAGGACTTTAAATTGCCTCCATATTTTACAAGTGGTTTACATTGACTTTGTGTTTGGCCTCCACTGCCGTTATACTTGTTTCAACTGTGTACCAGTCTGTTTGCAAAGGAGAATATTCTAATCATTTTTTTGCAATTTTGTTTCCTTTGCTTAAATCTATGACCTCTTGTTCTTGAAGTTGCAGGTTTTAAGCATTGCACTTTGTCAATTTTATCAATTTCTGTTTGTTTTGTACATACTGATCACATCCCCTCTTTTTCCTTCTATATTCTAAGTTTGGCATATTTAACACGTTTAGCCTCTCCTCGTAACCTTTGATTTTCAGTCCCGGGAACCATTTACCTGTAGTAGTGTGTCATTGCACCTTTTTCACTTTGTTGATGGACTTCTTGCATGGTGCATGGGCACCATGCAATCACTGCATATTTCAATTTTAACCAGTTTCATTAATATTTCACTGTCTATGTATATAAAAAATGAGATCCTGCAGTTGGAAAGCCAACAATGACTTTCCACACAGTGTCCTTTATGTGTTCTTTTGTTGACAATTTGCTGTTCAAATTAACCCCAGCGCTCTCTCTTTGAGTTCTTTAATGCCTTCCACATATTTTGTAAGTTGTGTTTGTCCTAATTTCTTCTATTATGTGTGTGTGTAATTACCTAAGTGTAGTTACAGAATGAGAACTATGCTCGTGGTGTGCCATCTTCCCCCGTACTCTGTCATATAATGTTTTGAAACTACTTATGGTTTTGGCCTCCACCATCTTCTCACTTAGCTTATGCCAACTGTCTACCACTCTGCAAAAGAAAACTTTCTAATATTATTTTGGCATCTTTGTTTACATAGCGTGATCTGTGTCCTCCTGTTCTTGAAGTTGCTGGTTTCAGGAATTACTGTTAATTTGGTCAATTCCTGTTATTATTTTGTAAATGGTGATGATATTACCTCTTATTCTTCTATTTTCTAGCATTGGCATATTTAACACCTCTAGCCTCACCTTGTAACTCTCGTTTTTCAGTTTGCGTGCATGTGTAATTACCTAAATGTAGTTACAGAATAAGAGCTATGCTCCTGGTATCCTGTCTTCCCAGTACTCTTTGTCATCTGATGCTTTGAAACTACTGACAGTTTGGTGTACACCACCACCTCATTTGTTCCAAGCATCTACCACTCTGTTTGCAAGAGAGGACTTTATAATAATTTTTCTGTACTTTTGTTTCTTTAGCTTGAATTGATGACCACATGTTAAGTTGCTGGTTTCTTGAAGTCCTCTTGTCAGTTTTGTCATTTCTTGTTACTATTTATTGTGTGTGTGTTTATAAGTAATGACATTAGAATTAAATGTAATATAATTTATTGATTATTTACTAGATGGGGTAAAGGAGAAAGACAAGCGTCTTGTGACAAGTGTTCTAAACAGCGTGTCTCAAGTTAAAGAGAATATCCATCATCTTTCACGTCATGCCTGGACTGAAGTGAAAGAAGATTGGCCCTTCTATACTGAAGAGGAAAAGGAAATTGTTAAAAGGTAAATTGCTGGTGTATTATAGAGAATTATCTTTTAATTCAAATTCAAATTCTTTTCCTAAAGCATGTAAAAATGTGCTGTTTATAATTATGCTTGTTTGATATTGACCTACTGTATTTACTTGTCTTGTATGTAAATCAGTCTAGGTTTAGTGTTTTATTTTAGTACAGTATCTACACAAAATAAAAACTTTTCCTTGGTTCTGTACTTGGTCTTTTTGTCATTATTGTTAACATTAACATCAGTACTTAATGTTTCAATTGTTTCAGAATTAAACTGGCTTTAGTTTATCAAGCATTTTGAGAATTTCTTGAATTTTTCATGTCTCATGATATATTTATAGCAAATGAACAAATCCACAAGGGCCGTGACGAGGATTCGAACCTGCGTCCAAGAGCATCCCAGATGCTGCCTTAATCGACTGAGCTACGACATGGTTTAAGAATGCCCTTGTGGATTTGTTCATTTGATACATCACGCTATTGTGATTTTTGTGTGTAAATTTATAGCAAAATTGACAAAAAAAAGGGTCAACTTCTGGTAGACATTTTTGTGGTCGTAAAGTGAGTAGCAAACGTCTAGTGGCAATGGTAACCCAGGAAAATATATAGTGCCTGCCTGTGCTAAAATGCAATCACTAACATCTGTAGTTTCTTTGTCAGATCATTTCATTCTCAAATATACTGTTACTGCATCAGCATATACTGTGTATGATGATATTCATGCTTTCTCATGTCTCTCTAGACCACTGAGATATTAATTGAATTTATATATTTCAGACTAAAGCCACAGACTTTAACTCCACCTAGCGGTGATAGTGGTCAGTCCCCAACTTCTACACTCCCTTTGTCCCCATCTTCAAGCTCACATGGTGTCAAACGCCCTCATGAGGAACCACTGGATCCTACAGTCAAAAGGCCTCGAGGTTCACGATGGACTGGTACAAAATCCAGAAGAGAGAGTTCTCGAAATGAAACCAGATCTAACACTAATGAAGAACCCATTATTCATTCTGATAACAAGCCAAATGTACTAAATTCTTGCTCAAACAGCAAACAGGTGAGCAATGGAAGACATCACCACCAAGATGATCGACCTCAGATAAATGGCACCACTAGTCCAAGTAGGAAGCCATCTTCCACATCACCCATCAGTCAAGGTTCACCACGTCATCGCCTCAATGGCATACACTCTCATCACACCTCAGGAAACCATTCACCCATTAATGGTGTGACCAATGGCCTAACTAATGGCCATGGTAATCCATACCACAGGACGAATGGGCATACCAGATTGGAACCTTCAACACCGAATTCGTCTCCAGATAGTCATCACGGGGGGGAGGACACGGAATCAGATTACCAAAAGTACGTCATAAACATATTAGTTTTCTCTTATATTTTTACCATTGTACTCTTCATTGGTAAGATATATATCTTTTAAGACTGAGCTCATTTGCTTCGGGCACCTTAACATGGCCTGACCCCATATAAATGACAGTTTTTGACTGACACTAATCAAATGTTACTGTGTATTGTCATTTGACCATACTAATAGAGACAAGACCCATCCATTTTATACCAAATTCAGTTGCATCCAGCATCGTCACAGGCTCATCCATTTTCAATATCATATTTTTGTTTTACCAGACACAATATTTTAAACATAACAAACATTTTAATGCTGCTTTATAAACACAAGTAAAGATAGCACAGTATTGTATTCCTCCTCCTTGTGACCTTCAAGTGGCTGAGTGACGTTCATACACCATGTACTACTTGCTAGGACCAGTCAAGCCACTCAGATTTAATCACCAGTTCCAATTGCTTTTATAATTTTTTTTCTTCTTCATACCTCATAATCATCATTTATCAGCGTTACTAATAGTGCTGCCAGACATCATTTCTATTCATTAATAATCCAATTACAGTAAATACAAAAAATGGCAGATATCCACAAGAATGCCTACTGGTAACACAAGGAAAATTAAATGAGATATGATGCCTGCCAAATTGGCCAAACATTACATGAAAATGTCTGGAACACCTTAGGGTACTCTCATTTGCATGGTAAATAAAATCTTGCATTGCAACCAGCATTCCGAAGTGACTGGTTCTGCTCGAGTAGTACTGACACATTGTCCCTTGTGTAGCCATCTTGTCCACATGGTCTAGTTGACTGGCATCCAGCTGCAGATGAGGAAGGGCCATACTCGTGGCACCTCAACCTCCAACCTCTGGTTTGTCCTCCTACAATAATGTAGGAAACTGTGCCCACATGGTCCTGGCTGACTCTGTTGGACATAATGGCATGTTGAACTTGCTAAACATGCAAACAATGGTCTCCTGACAGGTAATGCAGGTGTGCTTGGCATGAATCTTTAGCAAAACCAGTGGTGGTGAGAGACATTATTAGTAACACCTACTTGGGCCTAAACCACCATCCTATGTGGTTCACACCTACAACAGTGATCACACCCCAACATTTCAGTCCTTAACTCCTCACAGTTACTCCAACACTGATTCTATTTCTCACTCCTACAAACGAGACAAGCTTCTCTTGCCCACATGTAGTGATACTCTTATCTCAGCAGTGAGGCTAAGCTTCTCTGGCCCCATTCTGCTTAGTTCTCATTTTCCAACAATGTTGAATAGTAGCAGGTGATTTGACCCTCCATGATTGATTTGCCTTCCTTGTGGTTACTTTGTGATGGTTCCGAGAATCAAGATCCCTGCAGCCCGGTCTGTGCCTAGGCCTCCTGATTGGTGGTCTGGTCAACCAGACTGGGATGTGGCTGCTTGGAGCCTGATGTATGAATCACATCCTGGGTGATGAGATATCCTTTGGAGGTGTTTGTTGAGTTCTCTTTTGACCACTGTGAGAGGTCGTTCAGTTATTCCTCTTATGTGTAGCAGGAGCGTGTTCAAAAGTCTAGGACCCTTAATGTTAATAGAGTTCTCTCTCGGCATGCCAATTGCACCTAAGCATTCAATGGAGCTATTTTGCACATGCAGCTATGCCTCCTGTTATCATGTGATGTTATTTCCGTGTACTGATATGGAACTAGTCTATCTAATATTTTTCTAAGTGTAAATTATTATGTATCTCTCTTACCTATGCTCTAGAGAGTTTAGATTTAAAGAATTTAATTGGTTCCAATAATTTAGATGTTTTATTGAGTGGATTCTAGCAGTAAAGGGTCTTTGCACATTATCCAGGTCAGTAATTCCTCCACCTTTGAATGGGGTTGTTACTGTGCAACAATATTCCACCCTAGAGAGCACTAAGTGTCTTGAAGAGTATCATCACTGAGAAAATCAATTAGAGCAATAAGGTGACTCGAACCAGGGATTCGAGTCACCAGGGTACATTGGTATACCATGGTGTTATTTGTCAAACTTGTACTAGCTTCAGTAGAAGCCTTCAAACTTCCTGTATTCACAAGAGTAAGGTGTGCAACTTGACTGTGGACTTGACTAAGGAGTGCCTTGACTGCTGGTTTGAGTCACCTCATTGCTTCAATTAATTTTGTTATTAATATATATCATGCTCGTGTGAGTTGAGTATCAGCACTAATATGGCATCTCTTGTTTGAAAGGTTCTTGTTATACAACCTCTCATTTTTTTTGCAGTTGTGAAGGCTACATTTTGTTCTTTAAAAGTAAGGTCTTCCAACATGATGACTCCCAGGTCCTTTACATTGCTCTTTCATTCTACAGTATGATTTGACTTTTATATGTGGCTTCTGACAGGTAAGAAAACTAGCTATTAAGGCAGTGTCTGGGATCCTCTCGGACGTAGGCTCGAACCCTCGTCATGGCCCTTGTGGATTTGTTCATTTGATACATCACGCTATTGTGATTTCAGTATGTAATGAAGTAAGGGCAAAGAGGTAGAACAGTCTATTAACATAGCTCGGGTGCATGGGGGAATTGCATAAAACCCTAGTTTGTGTCTCGGAGAGACTGCAGGAACCGTTGGTAAATCAGGATGGTTTTCGGGTTGCAGTTCTTTTAATCATGTCATAGCTCAGAGCTCAGTCGATTAAGGTAGCGTCTGGGATCCTCTTGGACATAGGTTCGAACCCTCGTCACGCCCTTTATGGATTTGTTCGTTTGATTCATCACGCTATTGTGATTTCTGTGTGCAACAAACTGTTGTTCCAAGTTATCACAAGTCGCGCCTGGCCCCAGGCCGGGCTCGGGGAGCAGACCTGAAATCCGCTCCAGGTATGCTCCAGGTATCCAGGTATGCTCCAGGAGATTGCCTTGATGACGGTCCAGGATGGACTGAAACATCATCAGTTCTTTTATTTTCAGGTTTGTGGGTTGGGTGTCTAATTTTCAGCCATGTTATTGTGACTTATTGTCTGCTTTTTTGAGGATATTTTGGGATCAGAAAGCACAGTGCTAAAAATATTTCATAATATTTTTTGTATTGTGAAATATACTGACCTAATATTCCTGAGGTCCCTTCCTTGATTGCCCACATGTGAATGAATTATATACAGTACAGTATAGAGCTTTTCAAGATCTGAAAACATACATAATTTTGTATTTCTAAATTAACTTTTGCAATTTCAGGAATTACACAACCATTGTGTCAGTAGAACAACGAAGTCAATATAAAGCAGACTTCAATAAACAGTATCAGGAGTACCTACTGTTGCACGGTTTCATTCAAGAACGTACCCAACCATTTACTAACCTTGAGGAGCGGCTCAGGAATGAAACCCTTGGTTCTGATGAATATAATGTAAGTACAGAACAGAACTGTGTTTGTAACTTCCTGGCTGTGTGATGTGCTGAGATATGGGAATACTTAATTACCATTATTCAATAAATTCAGGGCTGAGTTATTTAGAAAATTAATGTTAGCATAAGTGGAGTAAAATCCGATTTGGAAATTATTGTAAATGAAATGCCACAGAGCTCCGTCTTGGGACTTCTGTTGTTTATCATATGTGTAAATGATTTAGACACAGGATTGAACAGTAACATTTGCAGATTTGCAGGTGATACAAAATTAGGAAGGGGAAAGACAACAAACTGCTACAAGATGACATGGATAGGCCTTTGGAATGGACAGAATATGAGCTGTTGTAGTTTTATGCTGAAGAATGCAGAGTTTTGAGCTTAGATTGTGATAATAGTTACTAGGTATCAGCTGAACAATGTTGAAAATTGTGAAATCTGAATTCAAAAGAGATCTGAGAATCATGATAAACAGGGATTTTAAGCAAAAAAAAAAATCAAATTGGTTTAAATATGGAATAAGGCAAATAGGACACTGGGATTTATTTCAACATGCATTAGTAAAGACATCCAATATTATTCTTTAGCATCATCTTTCTCTTGTCAGACCTCATTTTGATATGCAGTTCAGTTTTGAACTTTGTACTAAAGAGTGAAGTTAAATTTATATGAATACTGTATGTACAGATAAAGATGATATTGTATAGTTAATCCCAGGAATTAGGAACCTCCCATATGCAGGAAGTAATAAGATTAACATAAATTCTCTGGAAAGATGTAGAGGATTGTCAATGTGATTGACGTATTTACATTAATAAAAAGAGCATAACAAAGGGGATGTAAATAAGGTTTTAAATATATCAACTCAATATAGCGAAACAATGGCTATAAGTTGGTTTAATTTAGATTTGGAAAAGACCTGGGTAAATACTGGTTTGGAAATACAGTAGGAGTGTTTTATAATGGAACAAATTACCTGGAAACATAATAGATGTAGGTTTGTTTGATTGTTTAAAGCACAGGTTAGTCATATACCTCTGTACTCACTTATTTGTACTTGTGGGGATTGAGCTCTGGCTTTTTGGTCCCGCCTCTCAACTGTCAATCAACTGGTGTACAGGTTCCTGAGCCTACTGGGCTCTATCATATATACACTTGAAACTGTGTATGGAGTCGTCCTCCACCACATCACTTCCTAATGCTTTCCATTTGTCAACCACTCTGACACTAAAAAAGTTCTTTCTCATATCTATGTGCCTCATTTGGATGCTCAGTTTCCACCTGTGTTTCCTAGTGCATGTGGCTCTTGTGTTAAATAGCCTGTCTTTATCTTCCCTATCAATTCATTTGAGAATCCTGAATGTGGTGATCATGGCCCCCCCTAACACTTCTGTCTTCCAGCGGTCTTCCAGCGACGTTAGGTTTAATTCCCGTAGTCTCTCCTCGTAGCTCATACCTCTCAGCTCGGGTACTAGTCTGGTGGCAAACCTTTGAACCTTTTCTAGTTTAGTCTTATTCTCGACTAGATATGGACTCCATGCTGGGGCTGCATACTCCAGGATTGGCCTGACATATGTGGTATACAAAGTTCTGAATAATTCCTTACACAAGTTTCTAAATGCCGTTCTTATGTTGGCCAACCTGGCATATGCTGCTAATGTTATCCTCTTGATATGGGTTGCAGGGGACAGGTCTGGCATGATATCAACCCCCAAGTCTTTTTCTCTCTGACTCTTGAAGAATTTCATCTTTCAAATGGTACCTTGTATCTGGCCTCCTGCTCCCTACACCTATCTTCATTACATTGCATTTGGTTGGGTTAAACTCTTAACAACCATTTGTTCAACCATTCCTTCAGTTTGTCTATATCTTCTTGAAGCCTCAAGCAGTCCTCCTCTGTCTTAATCCTTCTCATAATTTTGGCTTCATCAGCAAACATTGAGAGGAATGAGTCTATACCCTCCGGGAGATCATTTACGTATATCAGAAGCAGGATAGGACCAAATACAGAGCCCTGTGGAACTCAACTGGCGACTTCACTCCAATCTGAGGTCTCACCCCTCACTGTAACTCTCTGCTTCCTATTACTTAGGTATTCCCTAATCCACTGGAGCACCTTACCAGTTACTACTGCCTGTCTCCAGCTTATGTACCAGCCTCTTATGGGGTACTGTGTCAAAGGCTTTCCGACAATCCAAGAAAATGCAGTCTGCCCAGCCTTCTCTTTCTTGCTTAATCTTTGTCACCTGGTCGTAGAATTCTATTAAGCGAGTAAGGCAAGATTTACCCTCCTTGATCCCATGTTGGCGATTTGTCAGGAAGTCCCTTCTCTCCAGATGTGTTACTAGGTTTTTTCTCACGATCTTCTCCATCACCTTGCATGGTATACAAATTAAGGACACTGGCCTGTAGTTCAGTACCTCTTGTCTGTCACCCTTTTTGTATATTGGGACCACGTTCCCCGTCTTCTATGGTTCTGGTAGGTCTCCTGTCTCCAGTGACCTACTATACACTATGGAGAGTGGCAAGCAAAGTGCCTCTGCACACTCTTTCAGTACCCAATGTGAGATCCCGTCTGGACCAACAGCCTTTCTCACATCCAGATCCAACAGGTGTCTCTTGACCTCATCTCTCGTAATTTCAAACCCTTCCAAAGCATCCTGGTTTACTTCCCCCTCCCCTAGCATAGAGACCTCACCTTGTTCTATTGTGAAGACCTCCTGGAATCTCTTGGTGAGTTCCTCACACACCTCTTTTTCATCCTCTGTATACCTGTCCTCGCCTGTCTTAGTTTCATTACCTGTTCTTCCACTGTCGTTTTCCTCCTGATGTGACTGTGGAGTAGCTTTGGTTCGGTCTTGGCTTTGTTTGCTATATCATTTTCATAATCTTTCTCTGCTTCTCTTCTCATACTAACATACTCATTCGTGGTTCTCTGGTATCTCTCTCTGCTTTCTGGTGTTCTGTTATTTCGGAAGTTCCTCTATGCCATTTTGTCCAATTCCTTTGCTTCCATACAAGCCCTATTAAACCATGGATTTTTGCCCTATTAAACCATATGTATGAATGAGTTTGGGTGGATATAAATAGGAACTGCTCCATATATGCCAATAAGCCCTCTGCAGGTGCCTTCATTCTGAGGTCCTTATTTAGTTATTTTTTACATCACTATGTACAGTACTTTTTTTGTGCATGTAATGCCTTAATGATTTAAAAACCATCAGCACTCGATTGTCTATGTATTTCATTGTGTACTAATGGTGTTCTTTATTCTTCAAGACAATACGTGCCCAAATCCTTTCCAAGTATGAAGCCACCCAGCAAGACCATGAATTCCAACAGAAGAAGAAGCGGTACACTTACCTACACGAAAAGTTGGCACATATCAAGAAGTTGGTGCGAGAGTATGATGCTACGCACTCCTAGCACCGGTTACCCACCCTCGCACCACCTCGCCGGCACCCAGCTCGCCTGCCCCGCAAAGTCCCAAAAAGGGGGAAGAATCTGTAGTGGTTACCAAACTGTGCCTCAGCTTTTTAATACGGTATCCCTTACAGAAGAAAAATACAGAAAATATTTAACCACAACAAGTGAGAGGATTTGAGTGACTTCAAATTATAGAAGAGGAAAATATTATACGTGTTGCTGGAAATATTTCCTGTTTAAAGGATGAATTTTTCAGTTAGTCAAAAAATATGATATATGTGACTTATCTTAATTCAATCCACTGAAAATTAAACTCCTCTTAGCCAATACAGTATTTGAAGAAATGTATTTCCCCCACTGCAATTAAGAAAATGGGTTGGGTGCAGCAAGCATATATTTGTGGGTGGTTTATACGCGGTGTATGTGTGTGCGAGAGCAGTGGTGTGCCAAGAGACGAGGATGACACCTGCCTTTACCTTGGTGTGTTCTCAAGTGCTTTCTCCTCCTCCTCCCCCCATCCCATACTTCCAGCTGTGTTCTCCCTAATGTGCTTTGCCCAAGGTGAGTTTCACACATGACAAAAAAATGGTGGTATTGTGGGTGTATGGTGTGGTAATTGTCCTTACCACATATAGACAATAAACTCTTAAGGAGGGGTGACAGACCCAACTAGTACCATTTGTTGTGGTAATAGTTATCGAGGAGAATGAACAGGAAAAGATTCTTAAAATCATACACTTATGCCAGACCTGCCAATTGTTGTATAAAGTGAACAGTGGATAATATTGAATATATTGTATAAAGTGTAAAGGTATTCTATTTTATTAGAGTACTCCAGCATCTATGGACAAGGGTTTTAAGCCCTTTCTTCCATAGACTTAGTATGAATGTATATTTTATATCATTCCATGAGGAGATCAATGCCCCAAATGTGTGGATAGTGCTTCAATATGATTGGTTTTGGAATATGCCAAGTTAGAAGTGTCATTATATGTCATACATGACATAAGAGTTATATACTTGTGATACCACGCAGCACTTATTTTAGTGCCGACTTGGATACCTCTTCGTGTTGTTAGAAAGTAGTGAGCGATCTATATTGTTCTTGTCAGGGCAAGTGGTGGTTATCTCATTAATGGCAGAGAGTCAAGGTGACTCTAGCCTTTCGCTCAATGGGTCAGGCCTTGTGTCCTTGCTTGGTTAAGCCCACTAGACCAATTCTTAAGCCCATTTCACAACTCCTTTACCCGCTTGCCCCTCTAATGGAGGAGAGTTGGGAAAATAAGTCCCCAAAATGTCTATCCTCACTTCAAAGGCAAAGTTTGGAAGTAGCACTATGATAGGCACCAGACTACACAATTTGACTGTGACTTGTGACTGGATGAAACAAGCAACTTGTCATTACAACCAAAAAGACAGTGATTACTTTCATTACTCAGTAGCTGGATGGGGTAGTGTGAGTTGTGTGCCACCGCAATTGTCATAGGAGTAATAGAAGCCTGTAGTAGAGTCTGAAGAAATTATTCGCTGTTATAATGTTTGAAGGATTCCAGCCAGTTTAATTTAATGTATTTTTTTTATTTTTTGCACTTCACTAATGTTTAGTTTCTTATTGGGTTAATAGTGGAGTGTCATTGGTATATTATGAAACACTTCTTCAGTTTAACTAAAGTCCTTTTGCTTTAACCTTTGACACCCAGCTTGATAAATACTGGATTAAAGGATCAGTCTGTGAAGGGCATTGAGCCTGTGTGTCGTCGTGGTTCATGTATAGAGCTGGCTCTTCCGTCATGTTGGGGTACTAACTAATCTTTTTCACCTGGGTGGTGCCACCCTTTAAACACTGAGATACCATGTAATACAATGCCACTGCAAACACTGAGATTCAGTGTAATACAGTATTTCCTACAATTTGGTTATTCAGCAGAAAATTCAACTTTAAAATGTTTTGGTTCGATAAGTAGATGGTTGGCATTCGCATACAGTATTATTGGGTTAAGAAAAATGTTGATCTGGAATTGGATACCTTTTCTTGATAAATAATTGATACGTTGTTAATTAAATTTTAACATTTAAAGGTGTTGCATTACAAGGCAATTCCTCCTTTCTGAAGCTTTTTCCTTTTCTCCATCCAAAACTTTTATGTCCAACAGATAAGTTATATAAACCTAGTGAATGCACAGGTAATACATATTGCCTGTGATAAGCAACTGGTGCCTGTGAAGATTTGTTAGCCACCTCTATGAGTGTGTCTTAAGAATGTCTGTGATTTATTTCCATGGTTGTGTTGATAGCATAACTGTAATACTGTGTTCCACAGAAACATTGTAGATCTGCATCATCATAATGTTAGAGTATGTGGATGCAGGTACGTGCGTTTGGCTCCATAGTTTATCATAAAAACACGACACATCACAGTACAGTACATCAACTAGTGGCTTCAGCTCCATATTGCAGTTCCTACCTATGTTGTTTGTCTTTGTGCCAGTCATGCAAAGATCCGCTGTGTGTATAATTATCATACTTACGCATAGTTCAGTGAATGGCTTATAAACATTCCAGATTTCTTTTTCCTAAGCCCAAATTGTTATTTATACTTAGTTTGTGGTTTATTTAAATTGTTGCAAATAATAAAATATTAATATTAAATAGGTTGTGTAAAGTACCATGTTTGCTATGTTGTCATAGCATAAGCGTTATTAATATGCAAAGGAACTATGAGTTTTACTTTAATTAACTCAAATAATTCAGAATATTTGTCGTAAGAGTAAAAATGAGGGCCTAAGAAGGTAAACTGATGGTACTAACATTGTTTAGTTTGTACCTTTATCGTGCACTTCTGAGGAATAATTACCACGTGTTAGCATAGTTTATGAATGACTGGTAATTGAAAAAAATATTTATGGGTTGTGTATTTGGGGGGGGGGGGGGGCGAGAGGTAGTGCATTTCTGTTGTTCGTGGGGCAACATCTAGCTCCTGGGCTACATTGCCTAGCTGTTAGTAGTCTGATGCAACTGCTCTTGAACTTCTAATGCTTTTTATTTTATTTTACTGATTTCTTTTATTTAATTCTTCCTTCCTTCCTTATAAGAAATGGTCAGTCACGTTTAAAACTTCCTCTCATCTTTTGTATGTGCATCACCACCTTAAAATGAAGATTTGGTGCAAGCAGATTGTTCACACATTGATAGACCACAGCTTTATTGACTGAACCCACTCACTTAGTCTTTATCTCTTACAGTGATTAGAAATAGTTTGTGAAACTTGCTTCTGTAAGGGAGGGTGGGGGGGGGAGGTGTGAGTGTCATGCAGTTAGTATGGAGTAGGGGAGTAGTACTACTACTGAAACCCTCTCCAGGTATGGTTAAGCACAGTGTGACAGGTGAGCAGCCAGGTGTGTTGATACCCGCGAGGGTCAAACACAAGGTGACAGGTGAGGTGTGTGTGTGTGTGTGTGTGTGTGTGTGTGTGTGTGGGGGGGGGGGGGGGGGGAAGAGTATGATAGACATTGGGAGGGGTTTTGCACCTCTCATGTTTAGAGGTGAGACTGGTCATGAGTATAAACCACAAAGTAAGTTTAAATTTGTAACTGTCTTAAATGTCCTAGAAGAATATTACTTCTCATTAAAATTTGATGGTCACTGGATTACGTAATTGTGAATAGCTCCTCGTTTACACCAATTGCAACATTGGCTTCAGTTATTGGTAAACTTTATATTATATTTGACATCGTTATTTTTGTGTAATAGATTGCCATCAGTATTTTATTTTTTTTCCGTTTTAAATTACAAATTCCCAAGGCATGATCAGAATACAATTTTGTTGTATAACATTTTTTATTGCAATTTATGCCCTATTTTTTATAAATCTGATCACCAGTAATTGTTTAACAAAACTCGATAAACATAGCGAGTTATGGCGAGTACAATATTTTTAACGAATAAAGCCGTGTTCACTATAATGAGACAATTCTCACTTGTACCGTAATCCAGGTTGACCGAAAACCCTGATTTAACTTAGCGTGTCATTGAATCTAACATGTAAAGTATGATAGCCTATAGCCTCGGTTTGGACTGCAGAATGATTTATTACAGATGATGACTGGCACATGTTGGGTTGTTGTTATAGTATGTCTTGTGTTGGAACAGTGTTAACTTAAAGACACTCCACCCAGTTACATGTAAGGATCTAAGCAGCATCCAGTTACTGTATTTATTTGCTCAGTGGATTAAATGTAGGAATAAAGAATGTATAATGTATATGACTTTGACTGTTTTGACCTTGACAAGGTGACTTGATAATTATTCTGACTGCAAGACATCTGAGCAATCTCCTTCTTAGGTGCCATAAATCAGAATGTAATTCCTGTTCTTCTGACTCTTTCTCTTACAGATTTATGAGCTTTCAATGACAGTTAATGTCAGTTGTCTTTAATAAATTTGAATCTTGCATAAAGTAGAGAATATGGGTTGGATATAGAGGGGGTATAAAATTTAGCAATGGGAAAATTGAATAAGTAATGAAAAATAAATTTGTTCCTCCCAAATTGTGCAATGTTCAAGCTGTACCAGGGAAGACAAATTAGACACGGAGACTGACAAGACTGGAGCAGAAACTGTTGTTGTAGTTTGCAAGGCTCTTGTCCTCCTGCTGGCAATTACACCATCACCTCACAAGCTGTCACAAACAAGTTCAACTGCTCTTTGTTGTAATTATTAATTCTCAGTGTGTGTGTGTGTGTGTGTGTGTGTGTGTGTGTGTGTGTGTGTGTGTGTGTGTGTGTGTGTGTGTGTGTGTGTGTGAAATTTCTAGACCTAATTGTAGTTATCTAAAGTGTAGTTAGAGGATGAGAGCTATGCTCGTGGTGTCCCGTCTTTCCAGTACTCTTTGTCATGTGAGGCTATGAAACTATTGACCGTGTGTGTGTGTGTGTGTGTGTGTGTGTAAGTGTAAGTGTAAAGAAACATTTACTCAAGTGCACCTTGTTGCTGTCTTCCCCTTCTTGCCTCTATCCTTCTCTCACCCCATCTGCCTCTCCCCCCTCACCCTCCTTTCCCCCCTCACCCTCCCCCCTCACCCTCCTTTCCCCCTCACCCTCCTTTCCTCCTCACCCTCCTCTCTCCCTTCCCCTCTCCCTCTCCCTCAAACCCCTCCCCCTCCCTCCCCCCTCAAACCCCTCTCCTCCCCCCTCCCTCTCCCCCTCTCTCCCCCCTATCCCCCCTCTCCCTCCCCCCCTCTCTCCCTCATCTCCCCCCTCTCCCCTATCCCCCCCCTCTCCCTTCTCCCCCCCCCTCTCCCCCCCTCCCCCTCTCCCCCTCTCCCCCCCCCCTCCCTTCTCCCCCTCTTCCCCCTCTCTCCCATCACCCCATCTCTCCCCCCCCTCTCCCTTCCCCCCTCTCCCTTCCCCCCTCTCCCCTTCCCCCCCCCCTCTCCCTCTCCCCCTCTCCCCTCTCCCCCCTCTCCCTTCCCCCCCTCTCCCTTCTCCCTTCTCTCCCCCCTTCTCCCCCTCTCCCTTCCCCCCCTCTCCCTTCTCCCCCTCTCCCTTCCCCCTCTCTCCCTTCCCCCCTCTCCCTTCCCCCCTCTCCCTTCCCCCCTCTCCCTTCCCCCCTCTCCCTTCCCCCCCTCTCCCTTCCCCCCTCTCCCTTCTCCCCCCTCTCCCTTCTCCCCCCTCTCCCTTCCCCCCTCTCCCTTCCCCCCTCTCCCTTCCCCCCCTCTCCCTTCCCCCCCTCTCCCTTCCCCCCCTCTCCCTTACCCCCCCTCTCCCTTCCCCCCTCTCCCCCCCCTTCCCTTCCCCCCCTCTCCCTTCCCCCCCTCTCCCTTCTCCCCCTCTCTCCTTCTCCCCCCCCCCTCTCCCTTATCCCCCTCTCCCTTACCCCCCTCTCCCTTACCCCCCTCTCCCTTACCCCCCCCCTCTCCCCTCTCCCCCCTCTCCCTTCCCCCCTCTCCCTTCCCCCCTCTCCCCTTTCCCCTCTCTGTTCCCCCTCCTCTCTCTCTCTTTTCCCCCTCTCTCTTTCCCCCTCTCTCTCTCTCTCTCTCCCCTCTCTCTCCTCCCCCCCTCTCTCTCTCCTCTCCCCCTCCCTCTCTCCCTCCCCCCCTCTCTCTCCCTTCCTCTCTCTCCCCCTCCCTCTCTCTCTCTACCCTCTCAACCCTTTTATCCCCCCTATCTCCCCCTCTCTCTCACCCTCCCTATCTCCCCCCTCTCTCTCACCCTCTCTTCCCTCTCACCCACCTTCCCTCTCACCCCCCCTTCCCTCTCACCTCCCCTCTCTCACCCTCCCCCCGCTCTCACCCCCCTCTCTCTCACCCCCCGCTTTCTCTCCCCCCTCTGTCCCCCTCTTCCCCTCCCTCTCTTCCCCTCCCTCTCTTCCCCTCCCTCTCTTCCCCTCCCTCTCTTCCCCTCCTCCCTCTCCCCTCCCTCTCTTCCCCTCCCTCTCTTCCCCTCCCTCCCTCTCTTCCCCTCCCTCTCTTCCCCTACCTCTCTTCCCCTACCTCTCTTCCCTCTCCTCCCTCCCCTGCCTCTCTCCACTCTCTCCCCCTGCCTCTCTCCACTCTCTCCTTGTGTCTCCTCTCTCCACTCTCTCCCCTGCCTCTCTCCACTCTCTCCCCTGCCTCTCTCCACTCTCTCCCCTGCCTCTCTCCACTCTCTCCCCTGCCTCTCTCCACTCTCTCCCCTGCCTCTCTCCACTCTCTCCCCTGCCTCTCTCCTCCTGCCTCTCTCCCCCCCTCTCTGCCCCCTCTCCCCCCTCTCTCTCCCCCCTCTCTCCCCCCTCTCTCCCCCCTCTCTCTCCCCCCTCTCTCCCCCCCCCTCTCTCCCCCTCTCTCTCCCCCCCTCTCTCCCCCCTCTCTCCCCCCCTCTCCCCCCCTCTCCCCCCTCTCTCTCCCCCCTCCCTCCCCCTGCCTCTCTCCCCCGTCTCCTCTCCCCTGCCTCTCTCCCCCTCTCTCTCCCCTCTCTCTCCCCCCTCTCTCCTCCCTCTCTCTCCCCTCTCTCTCCCCCTCTCTCTCCCCCTCTCTCCCCCTCTCTCCCCCTCTCTCTCCCCCTCTCTCCCCTCTCTCCTGCCTCCCTCCCCCTCTCTCTCCCCCCTCTCTCTCCCCCTCTCTCTCTCCCCCTCTCTCTCCCCCCTCTCTCCTCTCTCCCCTCTCTCTCCCTCTCCCTCTCTCTCCCTCTCTCTCCCCTCCCTCTCTCTCCCCTCCCTCTCTCTCCCCTCCCTCTCTCTCCCCTCTCTTCTCCCCCCTGCTCTCCCCCCACTCTCCCCCCCTCTCCCCCGTCCTCCCCCCCACTCTCCCCCCTCCTCCCCCCCACTCTCTCCCCGTCCTCCCCCTTCCTCTTCCCCTCTCTCCCCCCTCTCTCTTCCTCCCCCCTCTCTCTTTCCACCCTCTCTCTACCCCTCTCCCCCTTTTTCCCCCCCTATCTCCCCCTCTCTTTCCCCCTTTCTCTCTTCTTCCCCTCTTCCCCACCTCCCCTCATTACCTTTTTCTTTCGTCCCGTAACAAGCACATGCACAACCCCTCCACCAACCCACTACGACGATACCTCTCATCCAATAACTTAATTAGCTAATTACACATGCATGCATATATATACACATATATATGTGTATCCTTGAGAAGGATACACACACACACACACACACACACACACACACACACACACACACACACACACACACACACACACACACACACATATATATATATATATATATATATATATATATATATATATATATATATATATATATATATATATATATATATATATATATATATATATATATATATATATATATATTATATAATATGAAATAATACACACACAAGAAATACATGAGGTTTGCTCAACTTGCTAGATGTACTGGGTAGTTTTATATATTTTTTTTTATCATTTCAGTTTCTTACATGCGCAGGATCTTGGTACTGTGCATTTGAAATGCAAATTTTCTAAGAATTTTAGGCTTTGCTGAGTAATGGATCTAAATAAGATTTGATAACCTTCAAATTTTTAAATTTCTTGTGTTGTCAAATGTGGTTTTGTTGAGCATGGTGAGAGAGCAGTGATGTCTTGCAAGCACGGCAGCAGTGTAATGACGGCATGCTGACAACAGCCTAGTGTCCGAGATTGATCTTGAGCCCATTCTGCAGTGTGTACAGTACTTAGTCAATTGTTGGGGCACCCCTCTAACACTGGCTGAGTCTGCTTGGTTATCCGTTTAGAGTACCTCTCTGACTTGGTCAACTGCTGGAGTACCTCTCTGACATGGGCCGAGTTCCTAACTTAAATTCGTTGAAGATGAATGCCGAGTTATCTTATGAGAATAGTGGTATCATTTGGTCATTATGAGCATCTGGTAGCTGTTTATATGTGACTAATCAAAGAACTAATTAGTTGATATTATTCAACTAGTTAGAGAGCAGTATTTTTATTTATATTTCATAAAGTTCTCAGAAGGCTACCATATATTGTCAAAGTGCAAGTTTATTTATATATACATA